TAGTTAATATTATTTACCACATTATCAAATTAAAGGAGAAAAATCAACATGACTATATCAGGAGATGCGCGCATGCCCCCTCCTCCCCCCGCCACACACACACACACACACAATAGATAAACTTCTTTTATCCATTCCTGATAGAAACATTTACCAAAGTAGAAATAGAAAGCAATTTCCTTCATTAGATAAATAGCATGTACAAAACCTGCAGTAACTGTCATATTTAATAGGAAACATTTCATATTGTTAACTACAGGTAGTGAGTGAACAAGGACTTGTGACGATTAATGAGAATTACATATTTTCCTGCCCTTGACCTTCTCCTCTTCAATGCTCTTTTCAAGGATTTGGGTGATGGTGGAAAATGCAGTATTTCACGCTTGAGTGTTTGAAAGAATATAGTGACAGACAGTCAAAATTCCAAGTGATTTCAACCATCAGGAATACTTTGTCCAAATGAGCAAAGTGGGATTTAATAGGTATCTTTAATTGGGGTTCAAAATCAATTATGCACATGTAGTATGTGTAAGAATATGTTTGCTAAGAGATGATGTAAAAAAGAAATTAGACAAATTTAGCTGCTACAAACTCAGTACAAGAGTTTGGTAAACAATGTGATAAAGCTACAAAGAAAAAAATAAGGCAAACTAATCATGGCCCCTATGAAGAAAAGTGTTCTATTTAAATACAAGTGTCATAAGCAAGACAGACCTAGGTTTTATCCCGTTCCTCCGGCATCAGAATATCAGTGCTGTTGATCAATCTCCTGACATCTACAGCAAAATTTCAGAACCAGTGTTTCAAAAGGACTTTTGCTTTTGTACAGAGTGTGTTTCAGAGGGCAAGGGATATAAAAGTCATGTTCTACAAGAAAGAATTAAAGGAATGGAACATTTTATACTTGAAAAATCTCTTAAGAAAGGAAGCTTGCTTCAAATATAGGAAAATGTTGAGAACTTACTATATGTTAAGGTATTTTCTAGGTATTTTATATCTCTAATTTATCTTCCCAAACCATAAGAGGCAGATATTAATAATCCAATTTTATAAAAAGGATACTGACTCTCAGATTAAATATGATCAAGACATCCAGTCAATGTCAGAAATGAACACAAGCTCATATTTATTTGATTCAAAAACATGAATATTTTCTACTCATTTTTCTACCTTCAGTCTAGAGTATTTGAAAGGTTGCCATGTGTCAGAGACACATAATTTTGTTATTGCTCCATGAGAAAGAGAAATAGTGAGTGGAAAAAAATTAAGTTGGCTCAAAAAAGACTACCTTAAGAATTTTAAATGCCAACAGTCTACAAGCAGACACTGCATATCCATATGTCTGAGAAAGTACACTGCTTTCATATGAATTTAAAATAAGTAAATTTAAAATAATTTATGTTTTTAAATCATTTTGATTTGACATTAGTAGTGCATACTAAAAAGAAAGCAACATTACAGCAGTAATATGGGAGTCTGGTGATGTAGTTTCTTTGTCTTAAAGTAGACCTGGCATTTTGGATAAGTATCATAATCTCTGCCACACTCATTTTTCTCATGCAAGGATGAAGAGATGTGCATAGCTGGCTGATTTCTAAGGTTTCTTTCTACTGTATCATTATGTGATTTTTAAGACCCCCTACAAAATATTTTATACATGATAACAAGAAGTCAATGTGTTTATTCTCATTTTTCCTGTTTTAACAAGTTGTATCAAATGAGCAATGAAGCCTTGAATGTGTTCAGTTGAGGTTCAGTTACAAGTATAAATATCACGAAGCTTTAACATTGTTTTTGGCATTTGGTTTTTTGGGGGTTTTGTTTGTTTGTTTGTTTGTTTTAAATATATCTTTATTGATTTCAGAGAGAGGAAAGGAGAGGGAGAGAGAGAGATAGAAACATCAATGATGAGAGAGTCATTGATCGAGCCCACAACCTGGGCATGTGCCCTTACCGGGAATCGAACCCTGATCGCCTGGATCCCAGGTCGATGCTCAACCGCTGAGCCACTCCCGGCTGAGCTGTTTTTGGCATTTGTAAATAAAAACATGGGGTAAAATTCCTAATTTATTCTTACTGAGAATAAAATAATTTGACTATTAAAGTATAAATTAAGTATAAATTTAAATATTTAATTAATGGAAACATCTACTTTGAAGAAATACGTGTATATTTTGTTAAAAGCCCCTTGGTAACCCTAGACCCAGAAAATAATTTTAGCGAAAACTACAGTTTGGAAGGAAGAAATTATTTCAGGATGCCCCCAGCCTATTCAAACATGCTGTTTTAATATCTATATTTGGCATTGTAGCATGATCTAATCTTACAAAAATGGAACTGTTATTGTGAACTAAGGCCTAGAATCATTGTGAGAATAGGATTCAATAATTTATTCCTGAAATAGCTTTGCAATAGAGCTCCAAATAATAAATGAGAATTTGGAGAAATTGGCTTTTCTTCAGGAATTTTGTTAGTGCTGTAATTGACTATCCTGGACCTTCATATAGAAGACAGAAGTCACCGCAAAAAAAAACAAGCGGTAATTCAGATACCTTTTGTAAAATCTTTAAAAGGGAATATTAATGTTTCAAATATAGTTTCACAAAAAAACTATAAGCTATTTTAAAAATGCTTAATTACTCTGCTGACCTAAGGCACATCATGAATGACCAACTAAATTATAAAGAATCCTTCTATAATACTGCATAATAATATACCACCTAGCCTCTGAAATAATTTTGGAAACTTTCCAGGTGTCATCAGTATGATCACTAATAGGCCATATTTATGAAGTATAGAAGATCATTGTGGATGTACCTTAATTCTCTGATACAGTCAAAAGGTTTTTTCCCCCCAAGTTATGATAAATTTTTGACTAGTCAGTCATATAGAATGAATATGATAAAATTTGGTTGCGATTATTTAGAATTTCTTAATGTGCTCATAGTGTTTCTTAATTGATATTGTATTTGTCCAGGACACATATTCTAGTACAATTCTGGAAAATCGTTTTATAAACATTTTTTTCTTATTCTAAGGTAGATAATTTTTTAAATAAAAATGATCTAATTTACTTTCAATTCACTTAGAAACCATAGGTATTATAGCATTATTTAAGAAAATGTATTTGATAGTCAGAAATGAGACATTCTTTCTCATCTCAGAGTTTCTCCAAAGTTGAAACCTATATAATTTTAATAACCAATGTCACCTCAATAAACTCAATAGATATAAAAAAAAAATTTAAATAGGGCAGTCAGGGCCCTCTAATTCAATATATATTTTGATATAATTTGAATAAAAGTCTGAAATATAGGGTTACCAAAAGTCATATTAGTTTTGCTTACATAAAATCATACTAGACTTGCCATGCCAATGTGGTTCAGTTGGCTGGGCATCATCCCAAGCACTGAAAGGTTGCTGGTTTGATTCCTGGTCAGGGCACATACCTAGGTTGCAGTCTCGATCCTCAATGAGGGGCTTGCAGGAGGCAGCTGATCCATGTCTAGCTCTCACATTGATGTTTCTCTCTCCCTTACTCTCTCTCTAAAAATCAATAAAAAATCTTTTAAAAATCATACTAGATTTGGTAAAACAATGCAGTTGACTGCCATGTTGGTAAGAGATATTTCTATACATATTAGTTTTTCTGATTTTTGGATTTTTCCTGGCCTATTTTTAAATTGCCTTAGTTGTGCTATTTTGAAATCTGTCCAAAATTAACAGGCAAGCTGAGACTTTAAATATATCTTTGGACCCAATTTCTGGAACTGTCAGTAATATATCAGTCTTTTGCTTCTCTAAATTATATAGAAATTAGTATGAGAAGGCTGAAAATTTGACTCATTGGCATTTTAGATCAGGCCCTTGGTCAATATATTTCACTATCATATTTTCATCAATAAATGTTCATTGTAACCCAGGGACACGTTCTAAAACACATGATTTCATATCAATTATAAAATACTGAGTTTTCCCAATATTTCAGAGATTTATTGGTCATTCTATCTAAAAATTTTGTAAACAAATATAGTTTATCAGACTCTACAAACTCTTGTTGACACCCAGCTTTTCTCCTCTCTGTAAAACCAGAACTTTCACACTTCAAGAAGCTGCTGAATTTGCTCTGCCCCATTCCATCCCTCACATGTCTAAGACTCATAGATAAGTAAACACTAAAAAGTTTGGTTTTATACTCTATTGATACCTTACACATTATAATAATTTTTGTCAAATTCTCTCATCATTTTCACTCTCAAGTAATATTCAGTTTTAGTCTCTTTTCATATATCAGTCATCCTTACACTGTTAACAATTTTAAACATCCTTATATGAATCGTCTTAAGTCCTATTGCATTTATCCTACTTTTTAAAATGCAACTTCTCTGTAGGCTCTTTAGATTTGCTTACTGTTATTAGCAACTTTCCTTTTTTTAAACAAAAGAGAAAATGCCTGTGTAGCAACGTAAAAATGATGATGAAGACAAGAGACCCTTCTATAATCAGGATAGGCTTTGAATAATTCTAGAAATAAAAAGCTATTGCTTAGTTTTGTGTGCATGGTTTTTGTTTTTGCTATTTAATCCAACAGGATATATGCAGAGACATTCTGGGAGAATGAGAGTGATCTAGAGACTATAAAGTTGGGACCGTTTCCTTGGGATACAAACCCAGGAGATATGATCTTTCCAAAACATATTCAAATATAATAATAGGATTTTTTCCTAATGGCATGTAATTCTTGCTTCAGAATATACACTCTACCTTGAGGCCAACATATCTGGACCTATCATCAATACAAATGGGTTTTATTTTCTTCTGCTATCCTGGAAAGTAGACACCTAATACCTTTCAAGACTTAACAGAAACATTACTCTGCTTCTTTACATAGGATAGCTGTCTGTTAAAGATTTACCTGCAAGATAGTGATGTCACAGATTTTAACATGTATATGAATTTGATATATATCAGTTGATAACACTCCCATCTTTCTTTTGCAGGAGCAGGAGAATCTGGAAAAAGTACTATTGTTAAACAAATGAAGTAAGTATATACTATTTTAGATGTTTAATATTTGAAACCTATCCATCTATTTGACCCTTTTAAAAATAAATACCTCTGGGAAATGTGATTAATAATCTAAATCTGTGATTTTCAACAGGTGTGCCATAAGAATTTTTAAAACATGCAATACCTGATTCTGTGGTCAGGGGCATTGATCTCTTTTCCCTTAGGTTGTCAAATAAAAAAATTACAATAGCCAACACAATAGCTGTCCAGTGTGAATGTCCTGTCTTGAACCATAAATATAGAGTTGCATTTTATTGGTCATGTCACATAATAAGGTTGTGTCTTATTGGTTAGTTCGTGGTACCAGAAATCCTTATATACAAGTATATATAGCTGATTTTTTAAAGTCAGTTTGGAGCAAAAAGGGTAGGTAATTACTATTATTATATATTTTTTGTAAATCAATCAATATTATACATATATTTTTCTCAGATCAGAAAAAAATATTTTTTTGGTGTGCCACAGAATTTTAGTAATTAGTTTATGTGTGCCATGAGATAAAAAAGGCCGAAAATTGCTGATCTAGAGCACACGTAGTAGCAGAGCTATCACAATTTCTGTGCAAATATTCCTCGTATCCCTCCGCAGAAAACATAGAAAATCAGTAATATTATACTTTCCACTTTTCTTTTAAATTTTGGCCCTCACAAGATGGGTACTAAAAAGTTATATTATAGATATATTAATCTAAGTATAAATAGAGCTTTAATATTATGATCATAAACCATAAACATTCTGAAATATGTCAATCAGTGATCCATTTGAACTTAGGAGGAAACAATATTTTTAACCTAACTAGTATTTTGTCTACCTGGTAATAAAATGAATATTTAAAGTTCTGACCATCATGGGTTTAAAATTATTTTGCATTTATTTTCTCTACCTTTTTCTCTTTATAATGAATTAAGTAGACCTGCATTTCTTAATAAGGATATAATGAACACAAAATTGCTATGATTCCAGAATGCAATGCCTAAATAAATAAAATGGCAGTAGATAAGTGGAAATAAATATGTGAAATCTAATGGCTCTGTCATTGCTGGAGAATTTTGAAGGACAATTGTTGCTATAGAAGTAGATGATAATCATTTTTTAGCTTATTTTTAATTAAATGTTCAAGGATCACACTCTTCCACACATATCATATGAGAGAATGATTCCAGTTAATGATGAAATTGTCTATAATCTAAACCATTTTTTTTCTTCTTTCTAGGTAATGTCATGTGAGTTCCATATCAATCAATATTTAAACCCTACTTTTCAATTCTGTTGCCTATATCTGTAACTAGATTTTTGAACTTTTCTCCTATTTTTGAAGAACAGAAATCCTTTACCCGGATTACTGGTCATATTGCTTTTGAGTTCTCAGCTCCATCCTTGTACCCAAGTCATCTTGTGTTTCCTTATAACATTACTACTGTGTTCACCTCTTCTTTTCTTGCAGCTTATAATCATGCTTGAATCCCATTTATCTTTCTTACCCCTCCATTCTCTGTAAGGTTAAATGCAGTAAGAAAAAAATGACCAATTATTTGGCTATATAAAAATTTAAATATATTAAACCATAAATAAAATTTTAAAAATAGAAAAATTTAAAATAAATATGATATATAAATAATTGAATATCATAATATGTAAAGATCTATAGATTGTTGTCTGGCTGGCATGGCTCAGTGGTTGAACATCGACCTAGAATCCAGGAGATGGTGGTTTAATTCCCAGTCAGGGCACATGCCCAGGTTGTGGGCTGGATCCCCAGTGGGGGGAGTGCAGGAGGCAGCCGATCAGTGACTCTCATCATTGATGTTTCTCTCTCTCTCTCCCTCTCCCTTCCTCTCTCTGAAATCAATAGACATACTAAAAAAACAAACCTATAGATTGTTAAGGAAACCAATAAGCTGCCCAATATATATAAATGTGAAGAGACTATGAACAGACAGTTCACAAAAGACAAAATTCAAATATCTATTAAATATATATAGTTTCTCACTAATATAAAAAAATTAGAACCATAATGAGCTGTTTCTCATCTTAGTAGATTAGCAAACAATAATTTCAAAGTAATATTACCTAATAAATGTGTTTTGAGAAATGAATATTTCTCATTACTACTTATAAAATTGTTATAGCAAATTTATAGAAATAATTTTGGCAATTATGCACAGTAAGCTGGAAAAATAATTATTAATCTTTTAAATACATTTTTGAGAATTTTTAATAATAAAATAATTTGAATTTGAAATGGTATGAATATAAAATAATATAAATATGAAAATGTATGCAAAAGAGACATATCCATCTTATTTAAAATATTGAAATACAAGATAGAATAAAATACCCTAAGTTAAAATAAAACATAATCATACAGATTATGAAATTAAGGGATCATTCACCTTTAAGTTGCAATATTTTACCTCCATTACAAGTTATACGTATATTACAAAAATTTAATAAAAGAAAATACTGTTACCTGAAAAACCAAGAAACAAAATTGCATAAACAACTTTATCTCAACTATTACAAAATAGATAATGTTTCTAAAATGGAAGAACATATACCAATGTTCAAATTAATTTACTCTCTCTCAATAGTGGGATTTAAAGTTACATTGCACCTTCATTTTCAATATTGCTGGGCTTTTTACATTTTCTAAAATCAGCAAGTATTACTTCTATTACTAAAAAAAAAAAAAAAAAATAGTCTCCTGATTCTGCCCACTCTCTCCTTCCTTTTCTCAGAGTCTTTTAGGAATGGTCAACACCTGCTCACTCTACTCTCAACCATTTCCATTACTCTGCCTCTGGCGTGTCACAATAATTGCCCTTACAAACATCAATTATAATCTCCTAATTGCCACTTTTTATGAAGTGTTCATAAGTCCTTATTTTAATTCCATTTGAGTTTATTGGGCTTTTGCCTCCTAATACTTTTGCTTGGATTCTCAGATAACTCTCTTTCCCAGATCACCTCCTAACTGTCTGCTTCACTCCCTGATTCTTTGACTATATCTTAAATGCTGGTGTCACTCATGTACAAGGTCCTATTCTTTGCTTACTCTATAGCTTCATCAAAATAAAACTGCTAGAGTCCAATGATATTTTACTGTCATCTTCAAGCAGTCCATAATATTTATTTCAAACTCAGACACTTTGTCTAAACTAGGGAAACAGATACATCTATCTCTATATTCTATGTATAGGTCCAAATCAGAATAAACATTAAGTTTATTTCCCCATGTGACCTCTGTTTCACTAAATCAATTCTAGCAACACCAACCTCGAAAGCAATAAATTTAAGTGTAGTTACGCTGATGCCCTCAGCCATTCACCAAGTAGGCTGCATCTACACAAGTTATGTCTCTAAACAATTCCCTTATCTTTATGGTCACTGTCTTAGTTCAAAACCTCAGCATTTCTGACCTGAATTAATACAGTATCTTGCAAAGTAATTTCCACCCCCATCTTCTTCTTCCCATGGCACCACTCACACTGCCACAAACCAATCTCTCCAGAAATGATTGTATCTCTTGAACTGAACACTTTCCCCACCAAGATCGAGCTCCTTGCACTGGTACATAAGACACTTCAGAACTGAGCTCTTACTGTTTATCCTAATGTCCCATAATCTGCTTCCTACTGTCTGCTTCAGAAATACTGAATTTAGCCTGCCTGGCGTGGCTCAGCAGTTGAGCATCGACCTAGGCACCAGGAGGTCATGGTCCGATTCCCTGTCAGGGCACATGCCTGGGTTTCGGGCTCTGTACCCATCAGGGGGCATGCCACAGGCAGCCAGTCAATGACTCTCTCATCATTGATGTTTCTATCTCTCTCTCCCTCTCCCTTCCTCTCTCTCTGAAACCAATAAAAATATATATTAAAAAAAAGAAATACTGAATTTATATAGTTGTATGGACTAGTACACTATGGAAGGCAGTATAGCTTTGTGGCTAAGATCATGGGCTCTAAAATCAGATTGCATTTGTTGCCCAGCTGTACCATGAACTAAGTTAAGGGTAGTTGCTTAATGTGTCTGACTACATTTCTTACCTGGAAAATGTAGGTGATGATTTTATCTACTTTAAAGGGCTTATTGCAAAAAATAAATAAATAAATAAATGAGAAGACAAATAAAGCACTTAAAACAGTGCCTAGAACATATTGAAAGCTTGAGTACTGTGAGCATTATATTTGGTCATAATGATTCTTCTGCCTAAGTTGTTCTCTTCTTCTTGATTATCCTGAAATAACTACTTATTCTTGAAATTCAGCTGATCATCACTGCTCCCAGGCAATCTACACTGATCCCTTACACCCATTCCCAATAAAATGTATCACTTTTTCATTTCTTGTTCATTGTACCTTGCAGACGTTGTTGCTATGCATTATCACATACAAAAATCAGATATGCTCTACCTTCCTATAAGCCTGTATTCTCTAATAGAACTTTCTGAGGTAATAGGGATGTTATATACCTGTTCTCTTCACCAAGGTAACTCTTAGCCACATGTAACTATTAAGCACTTAATTGGGGCTAGTGTGATTGAGGAATTAAATGTTTAATATCTTTTCATTTGAATTAATGTGTCTAGTGGCTACTGGATTGGAGAGTTCTATATGTTTGGGGGGAAGAGGGACTTGTTTAATTTATTCACCCTTTTCAGTGCGTAATGTAGTATGTTAGAGAAAAATGCCCAATAAAAGCTTATTAATTTGAACAGGAATCAACCTGCAGGAAGAGAGCTCTATTTCACAGAAATGCATTTATGAAGCTCCTAGAGAAATAAGCTGCTTAAAGTCCCACTATAGCTGGATTTTTTAAAGTTTTTGTCATTTTGCTTTGTGATAGATACTTCCTTTTCCAATGGCAAAAGGAAAGGGATCAGAGCTTGTGCCAGGAAAAAAATATAAATGCCCCGAAGTCAATTTGTATCTGGCATCTTGATTTAATAATTAAAATAACTTTCCAGTTTTGATTTTTGACTAAGAAGTGGAATTTCTTTAATAAACTTATTCCTGACATATCCATAAAAACATTTTACTGCATTTTTCTATAGCCTTTAATTGACTACTTAATTTACTTTAAGTTAATCATTTAATACAGCAAGATAAACATGACCATATTTGTAGTACAAATACAGCAATTATTGGCAATAAAATATTAAAAATAAAGAATAGATAAGCATTGCCTCTACTCTTTTGACTGCAGAATCCTTGTATTTGAAGGTTTTAATATCTTGAGAGATATTGTGTTCTTTTTCCCCCTCTGCTAGAATCTTTATGTGAATGGATACAACACAAATCTTTAGTAACATGATATCCAAAATAATGCCTAATGAGCACAAAGCATTTCCAAAACAATAAGAAAAAAAACCTAAAAGAAATGATAACTCATTAAGCAATAAAGATGCAATAAAGTAATTAGCATATACAAATATTTTAACTTTTAACAGGTAAATCTATTCAAATCTATTCTAATTCTATTAGTTAAACTTTTGAATTCTAATTGAATGAGTGGAAGGAAAAGAAGAGTTCAGCAAAATTAAATGTCTGGGCATTTCAGCTGTGATCACTCAGTGGCACACACACATGGAAAGCTACAGCAATTTAACAGCCAGGAATTACCTACATTAAAAAAAGATGCCTTTGTTACTGCTATAAATAGAAAGTGGGCACTCCTGTTTTCTAGGGTGTCTTAAGTGAGAGGAAAAGACATGAATTTCATACTAAATTACTTCTCTTCCTCTAGATATCACATTGTAAAACCTACACAATGTTTTAGAACTACTTATACAAGTTTGCCCTGGGAATCTGGAAATCTCTCTCTTGAAAAGAAAAAAAGCTTTCTAAGTAAAACGCTCATGATTTACCTATTTTTAATAGTGCTTTATCTAGAGCAAATCCTAAGTTCTCTTTATATTTAGAGTGAAGAGCTCAGAAAATAAATATTGTATTAAACCCAAATGATAATAAAAATCCAAAACCCATAAAATTATTCAGATTTAGCATATACGTATGGACAAAGTTCTTCCTTTAAAAAATATATATACAGTAATTTTTTATTCAAGCAAATTATTATTAATGTGTTCTAATATTACAAAATAAATTAATTGTTGAACTCACAAAAGCTTTTCATGTTTAAATTACAGGATTATCCATAAGAATGGTTACAGTGAGCAAGAATGCATGGAGTTCAAAGCAGTAATTTACAGTAATACATTGCAGTCTATCCTAACTATTGTGAAAGCCATGACTACCCTTGGGATTGATTATGAAAATCCTGGAAGTGCAGTAAGTATGCTAATAATCACAGTGTTAGGTCCTACAATGGAGTTTGGGCAGTAAAACAGTAAAACTTAGTACATTTGTAGTACTGATCTATACCAAATATTTAATAATATGAAATATGAATTTTGGAAACATTAATTCTGTTTAGTGTAAGATTTCTTATTTTACTTTAAATGAAACTTTTCTTTTTGACTGTGTGCTATAACCTTATTCAACATTAGCTGTTCCTAAAACAGCTAATGTACTAGCCCAGCCTGTGTGGCTCAGGGGTTGAGAATTGACCTAGGATCCAGGAGATCCAGGTTCAATTCCCAGTCAGGGTACATGCCTGGGTAGCAGGCTCAATCCCTAGTGGGGGGGGGGTGTTGCAGGAGGCAGCAGATCAATGACTCTCTCATCACTGATGTTTCTATCTCTCTCTTTTTCCTTCTTCCTTCCTCTGTCTGAAATCAATAAAAATATTTTTTAAATAATAAAAAATAATAAAAATAAAAATAATATACTGTATTTAAAAAAATATTGCTTGTTTGTTAAATACAAAAGAGTTTATTCCATAAAATCAAACTGCAATATCTCTACATTTATTTTCTTAGTTAATTGTGAGACATTTCATGGAGACTTTATTTTTAATAAAAACACTGCAATTATTATTGTTCAGTGATGATTACAAAGACTATGTGGCATGGAAATGATTATTTTATAATGTTATTTTTTAAAGAATTCAAAATTATGTGATTAAATAAAATATTTCTATAATAAATATACTCAAGTAGCCATAGTTTTGTTAATAAGATAGCACCTAAGTAGTCTCATTTTTCTTCTATTTTATATTTGTAATAGAATTATCTTATGTTAAAATACATTTAAAACACATTTGCTTTATAACTGTTTACGTGCAAGCATATAAAACCACTTTAGTTGACAAATAAACATATAGTATTATCCAAAGAGCAATAGCTAGACACACCCACAAAAGGAGTAATTGTGTACAATTCATAGGAAGAACTCACCCATTTCCTGTTCCCCTCCAGGAGCAGCTGGTTGCATCCGGATCGGATGTCAATTGAACTGTTCCCAAAGTAATTCTTAGATACCTTGTTTTATAAAAATAAAAATACAGAAGAATAGTATAGTAAGCACAGAAAAAAAAGTGACATTTCTACTTTTCTCTCCCCCATTTTACCAGTAGTTTAGATTATGTAAATGACCATTGGAAGCCATTAGGATGAAAATTAAAATATCTCATGCTGCTAATTTTTTTCTTATTTTTTTTAAGCATAGTTGATAAACAACATTATATGAGGTTCGGGTGTACAACATAGTTATTCAACATGTATATACCTTATGAACTGATCATCGCAATTTATCTAGTAACCACCTGTCACTGTACAAAGTTAATTTGGTACTATGGGTCATATTCTCTATGTTGTACATTATATCCCCAAGATTTATTTATTTTATAACTGGAAGTTTGTACCTCTTACTGCCCTTCACCTTTTTTACTCCTCCCCACATGTAAGTGAAATCATAACCTATTTGTCTTTCTTGACTTGTTTTACTTAGCATAATACCCTCTAAGTTCATCCATATTGTTGCAAAGGGTAAGATTCCATTCTTTACTATACCTGAGTAATATTCCATTGTATGTGTGTGTGTGTGTGTGTGTGTGTGTGTGTGTGTGTGTGTTTATATTCATATGTGTGTATAAAAAACAACTGTTTCATTCATTCTTCTATCTACGGACACTTACATTGCTTCCATGTCGTGGCTTATTGTGGATAATGCTGCAATTAACATAAGGGAGCACATATCTTTTCAAATTAGTGTTTTTCTTTTCTTCTGGATAGCTACCCAGAAGTGCAATTGCTGGATCATATAGTAGTTCTGTTTTTTAGTGCTTTTGAGGAGCCTCATGCTGCTAATTTGAAAAGAAATGGTAAATTCCATTTAGTTCTGCCACTTCCTGACAAAGAGCATGGAAATTTCCTTAGGGCAAATAGTTTGAAAGGCAGTCAGGAGTTCTGGTAGGAGCACCTTCATTTTTAGCTTTTATGCCACAGCTTGGCTCCAGTAAGTCACCTTCTTCTCGAGGTTATAATTTTTATCTCTCATGTAAAAGGGAAACTTGCAGGAGCTGAGCTGCAACATCCTTTCATTTTTTGTCACTCTGTGACCCAGTAATCATGGTTTTATTCAAGGGTAGTTTCATTTTCCCATGAATCCAGGATTTTGAACTTCCCCTTAAAAGACAGCTGGGCATAACCCCTTTTCTAAAAGATGTGAAAACATAAGAGTCACAAAGGTTTAGCCATTTGGCTTCCCTTAAACGGCTAGAGTTTAGAGCAAAACCCACTTCTGGCTTCTATTAGAGTAGTCCCTCCAATGCAAGGTATTTTGTAAAAATACTTGTAATTATTTCTTTCTTCTAAGCAGTAATAATTCCTGAAACAGGTGTTCTTTCTGATTCCATTTGAGAATAATTTAATGTTTTAATTTAAATGTGTAATATTCCATATATTTGCATCACTGAAGTTCAAAACCACAGCCTTGCCTATTGGTGCTTATTTAAATAGATGGTGTGTTTCTTATAGCCAGCCCAGTGTTTGCAAATACGTGATCCTAGTAATCACTAAAGACCTAAAATCTGTTGGTTAAGAGCCTTAATGATCTGGCATTCAGGTGAAATGAAGATAAGAGACTCTGTACATTGCTGCCATTATACTCACTAAAAAATAACAAGAAATGTAATTTATTGAAACAGTCCATTGAATGGAAAAAACATTAATTTAAGCAGCACAAGCAATTGGTACAACTTCCTAGGAGTACCACTGTTTTCAAATATCAAACATCACCATTGTCAGGCACTACATAGCTCATATTTTTATTTAAACTAACATAAATAATAGCAGTTTCAATCACAATCTCTAGTATTTGATTTTAATATTAATATATTTTCTATATCTGACTTAAACTATGTATTCAACAGATCAATTGTTAAACATTTTACGAATGTGTAGCATTCAGAGACCTGATTTCCTAAGGGTTTCTACTTAACTTTTGACTTGTTTATTTATGCCAGGTTATATATTCTTACATAACCATTGTACATTAGCACACAAATTGCCATTGAAAGAGGGAAAGAGTCTAAACAGAAAATTTACATGAGCTTTTCGGTCACCAGTCTATAAATTTAGACAAGTTACTTAATGTCTCTAATTTCAGTTTCTTTATCCACAAAATGTTAGCGCTTTCCTCACTGAATTACAATGACTATTGCAGAATGAAGAAGAAATATAAGAAACCCATTTAAACACAAAATATTGCAGAATGTAAGCTCCCAGAAAATAGTAAGTTTTATTCCTTTTCAGTAATCACTTTGAATGTAGGCAAATTAAAATTTGTTATTGAAGCCTGCACATATAACATTATTTGAAAAGAATATTTTTCATTAAACTATTGCTTACATGACGGACATCTGTCTGGACACTAGGGATATACTGAGAAATGGGCAGTAAACAAGATGGAAATAGTTTTTGCCCTCAAAAGAAGAAAGATGATATTGAACAATTACCAAGTGCCAGCTATCTCAGAAGTGTGGCACAGTTGGATGTGGAGCTAGTTCTTCCTCAGTCTTTGAAAGAATCACTGAGAAAGGGAATACTATCACTAGTAGGGGTTGGGGAGAACTAATTAGTCTTGTTTCGGAAATGTGGAGTTTGTGTAAGTTCTGTGAGATCTCTAAGCAGTTAAAAATGTGCATTTGAAGTTCAAAAGAGATATTTGGGTAGAAATCTAAATCTTGGTGTTATTGGCATACCATTACACTGTGGCCTATGATTTACACTGAGGAAGTGGGTGGGATGGCAGAGGGCAAGTGCTTAGAATGAGAAGGGCACTAGGGAGAATAAAAACATAGGTAAAAGTACTGAAAAACTCCAACATTTTCTGGTGCTTTGAGAAGAACAGGAAGCCTTGGAAGAGAGGGTGGGATAATAAGAGGAAAACCAGGAGTGCGTGGAATCGCAGAATTCAAAACAGGTTGCCCAAGGACAGGTTATATACATTGAAAGTTCAAGAATGACATGCTGTAAACGTAAAAGAGTCTATTGGTTTTGATAATGTACAGATCGCTGGGAATATAATGAGAGGTGTCTGGAGAGTTTTGGATACAGAATGCCTTGAAGTGTTTTGAGAAATGAGAAGAGGATATGGAAACAGTTTAAAGACAACTTCTGGAGCTACAGCTGACAAGTGGGAGAGGGATGAGACCTGTAATTGAAAAAGAGCTTGGTCTTACTTGCTTTGGTTTAATATTTAACAGACTAAGTTCAGGAATATAGAGTTTGTAAAGAGAGTAAAGCTGGGAAACAAGAGGGGGCATAATAAAGGCATTTAGTAAGTTTCTATTTACCCTTTCTGAATATTATTATATTCTACTTTAGAACCTCTAAAACATCCACTAGACCAACATAAAAGAATGCTAAAAGTTATAACACTTTGACCACACAATCTGGTTGTTTTTTTTGTGTGACCATATTTGGCATGGCATCCTACAAAGTGAACCCTACAATCTGAGCCAAAAAAGATTGATTCCTGAAGATGTCCTATTCCACAAGTTCTGTGATCAAATAAGTCTGGGATACATACACACTATTACAACTTCTTGGAAATTTGCAAACAATATTAGTGTTCAAAGTCTCTAAAAATCTAAAGCAACAAACCTGACATTTTTAAACTTGCATTTCCCCAAATTACTAAGTAATGATATCCATCCTTCCTTTAATAGATATTTTTTGCAATCTTTGGAAATGAGTATAAGGTTCAGAATGAGTTTCATGAAGTTCTAGGACCACCTGAGGTCCCTAGTATTGATGAGGAAGTTCTGGATAAACTGTAGAGAAAATATATATTTTGCTTTCTAAACAACAATCCCAGAACCATGCAACCTTAAATGCACATTCTAGAACTGCCATAATTTCCATTCTTTTCCAAATAAATTATAAGGAAATATAATTTCTTCAGGATGCCACTCATCCCCCCTTAGAGCTATAGGAAAAAAATGTGGGAAATTGCTGGAGCTCCCTTAAAGTTCCTCTACAACATATAGGTCTGAGATAATTAGTGTATTTTTTAATCGATTCATTCATTTAACAATATTTCAGAGACAAGTACTATGTATTAGGTTCTGTTCTTAGTCTTAAAGATGTAGAAATGAACAAAATAATAAAATCTCTGTCTTTAAGTGCTTAAAGTCTAATATAAAAGATGCAAAATAAAGACATATGCACTACATAAGTATTAATAAGTACTGTGAAAAAAATCAAGGATGGTAAAGGGCTAGAGAGAAAGGAAAGAATGGGAGAAAGAGATGGCATCCTTGATGGAGTAGTATTTGGGAAGAGACCTGAATGAAGCAGGAAGTGAGCAACAGGGAAGACATGAAGGGGCTCTGAAATGAGATCTTGATGAGTTCAAGGAAGAGTAAGGGGTCCTGTGGTTCTTGAGGAGATGGGGAAAGAAGAGAAGGAAAGGGAAGGAGAGGGAGGCAGAGAAAGAGAGACAGAGAGAAGGGTGAAAAGAAAGACATGGGTCAAAAATGTAGAGCTTTGTGAGAAAAATAAGAGATTTGGATTTTGTTTTGAGTTTTATGAGAAGGTACTGGAGTTTTTAAAATATGGGAGTAAGATAAGCAGTAGGAGTTCAGTTTTCAATCAATTTGTCTGTTATATAGAAGACAAGTTACCATACCTGTTAATTTTGTTACATATTTTATTTTATTATTTTTTTTAAATATATCTTTATTGATTTCAGAGAGAGGAAAGGAGAGGGAGAGAGAGAGAGAGAGAAACATCAATGATGATAGAGTCATTGATCAGCTGCAGCCCACAACCCGGGCATGTGCCCTGATCGGGAATCGAACCCCGATAGCCTGGATCCTAGGTTGATGCTCAACCACTGAGCCACGCCCGGCCAGGCTTGTTACATATTTTAAAAATCCAAATTTGTTTGGTGGACACAATACCTTAAAAACATGAATGCTGATTCTTTAGATTATCACATCAGCCCTTTAATAACTGAAGAAGAGCTTCAAGAATAGAAATACAGTATGTTCGATAAGATATTACTTATCGTTTAAAAAAACACACCTGTATATTTCCAGAGATTCCCAACTCACGCCTCACATTTGAGTCACTTGAGAGATTCTTTAAAATAACTTTGCAGAAACTGACACCCAGAGACTCTGAATTATTTTGTTTGTGTTGAGGTCCTGGTATCAGTATTTTTAAGAAGTGCCCCACAGGCTTATAATGTGCAGCCTGATTTGAAAATCACCACCAGCAACTTCAGTTATGAATGCAATAAAATAAAAAATAAAAATCTCAAAAGACAAAAGACAAACTGATAGGATCACTTGCTCTCAGGGGAGGTACTGGGAATGACGTGGTGATCAAAAAAGACTTTGTGATATTTAAATGTTCAAGGTGATACTATGTTCGTGATATCCATACAAAGTATATTTAAATTAAAAATGGAAAATTTTAAAGAGAAAGGAAGAGTTTATTAGCGGGTTTGTAAAGGTATGCTAACAAGGCATGTAGTTTTTTCTCTGTAGAGACAAAACTGTTTGAGCAACTGTTTTATTGCATCATTTCTCCTAAATGGCAGTTTAATGGTGGAAAGAGGCAAATAAGATGATGCCAGCAAAAGTGACTGGGTCAAATTTCACTGGTTTTGCAGTTCTCTGTCACATCCAACTAATCAGAAAGAAGAATTTAAAACTTACCCTGTGCTGATGCAAGAGAATGAGGCCAAGCCTTTAATTTGGGCCACTTAAATTTTTGGCTTAATGGTCATTTGATAGGTTGGTTTGGCAATAAAATCTCACTGTGAAGAAAGACAGAAATAAGGTTTGTAATCTTAAGAGAGCCCCTCTTTAACACTGAGAAACATACCTTTAGTTTTTAATGCAAAGAGCATATTTTTAATAAAACAGTGAAATAAACTTGGCATTGATTTGAAATAGTAATAAATTAAATTGTTTCAGAAAACCAGCAGGTTTTTATTGGACATAGTCCTGACATTGCACAAAATATATTTGGGTTTGACTCTTCTTCTGATGCTTATTGTCTTTATTGGTTTGTCAAATTAATCACCTACTTTTAGATTCTTCATTTGTAAAATGGGAAAAAATATAACGTCTATGAGACTGCTATGAGGATTGTGTGAGAAATTTTGTGTGCTAACTGTCTTGGAAGTATAATCATATGTGCAGCAAAGAGCACAAGCTTTGGAGTCTGACAACCAGAATGTGAGCCCAGACTTCATTTGCCTGGTTTATAATGGTCAATAATTATTCTGAAATTCAAATTCTTATTCTTAAAAATGTTTTGGTCACAAAACAGATTTGATAATTAGTTTAGATAAACTGTGGACTATATTATTTACTCATTGTACTTTTATTTATTTCTGTTCTTGTCAGCTCCAAATATTCCATCAGGACTAACACAATGCTTGCTTGCTTTTTTATTTTCCTTTTCCCTTCTCTTCTCTCTCTTTTTTTTTTTTTTTCATCTTCTGGTCTCTGACCTATTAATTTGCCCCAAAGGTATGCAATTAACAACAGTTCATGGATATTCAAAACTTTGAGTGGATCAAAATGTTTACCACTATTTATATGATTGCAAAGAGGTACATGATGACAAATAATATTGTCTATCAATCTTTAAGTACAATTTTAGAATATTGAGTTTTATTTTCCGTTTTTTGCTCTAATTCTTACTTGGCATTTTTGTTTCCTAGAAACAAAAAATATGGCCATGATCAAGGGAAGACTATGTACCAATTTAGATCAGATCCATTACCCTTTCATGATCATTTTTACCATCTGAAAGTTGAATGGACTTACACCAAAGTAAAAGAAGTTATTTCTTTTCACATCATATTCAAAAGTTAGTGACATATACCAAAACATTCTGTTTTTTATTACAATATTTAAATATATTCATTTTTGCAATGGAGAACTCTTTTGGGTATCAGTCAGTGATTATAAGGAACTTTATTTTTATTAACCTTAAGATATATTGAATAGATGTTCAGTGGAATTATTACCTAAAGAAATAATATAAAATCATCCAATTGCAATGCTCTATTCAAAAAAAAAAGACTATGTGATTTCAAATAATCACACAGTTTTATTCTTTTTATAAAAACATTGCTATAGGAAGACCAAGGACAACTTTATGCAATGGCAAATACCCTAGAAGATGGGGCAATGACGCCTGAACTGGCTGAGGTAATAAAACGACTGTGGAGAGACCCGGGAATTCAGGCCTGCTTTGAAAGGTCATCTGAGTACCAGCTCAGCGACTCAGCAGCTTAGTAAGTGAATACATTTTGAGAGCAATTGTAGTTGAAATATTTAAAATTAAGAATTATAACTGTATACTCTGCAAAAAAGATCAAAATGATTTAAGTGGGATGTAAGAAAATATAACCAGGGAAACATTTCAAATAACTAATTTTGAAACTACTTTCCTGAGGAGATCCATATGTTTTAAATATGTTCTCTAAATTTAAAAGAATTAATCATTTTGCACCGTGCTCAACATAAACACAGAATGGTGACATGCACACTAGGATTGGGGCTATTCATTTCATCTCTATGCATGTTACTGAAGTCATGTTCTAAAGTAATCTTATTATTGACACGTGCTTGGGGTTCCTTTGATTCAAGGAACATGATACAGAGTTCTAAAAAAAAGTAATGTATTGATAGCCACAACATTTGTACACTGTGGAATTATTTTTGAGTCTCAAGAAAGATTATATAATTTTCACAGCTATCATCCAGTTAGCAATTATCAGTCACAAGGGAATTAGGAAGTTGTGACACTATATATAATTTCATTATCAAAATGATTTTAAGTTTCCATTTCAGTAAGTGGTTCTTATCTTTTCCCATGGTCATATGCCTACAAGCATATGTATACATGTATGTAAATATAGTTTCATTACATATTCTATATTTCTGTCCATGCATATGAATGTGTAAAGAGATATAAACACAGTCCTTTCCATGAGCCCCAAACAGAACATGCCATCAGTACTTCAAACAAACAAACAAAACCAAAACACAATAATGTGAAAGTGAAACAAATGAAAGATTCTTTGAGGACAGAACAATAAATACTTGCATAATACTTCAGATTTTTAATCATGATGGGTAGAAGGGTTATGGAGAGAAAACAAACCATATAAATTCTAGGAAAAAGTAACAGTCTTCTGTGATTATTCATTCATGTTAATTTTAAATTCCAAGCCCAATGGGTACATTGCCCTTGATCAGCTTTTGCCTCAGTGATAGAGATTGGGTATCATCCTGTGATTATATAAACTTAAATAACTGTTTTTATAAGTGTTCCAGTACCCAGTCACACTTTAATACTAATAGCATTGTCTGTAGTATAGAAAACATTGCTTTTGTATATAAATCATTGATAAAAGCAGTCACAACTAATAAGAAATTGAAATATGGAATATTTTCATTAAAAATTGGTTAGCAAAGTTCTGAAAAGGGAGAAAAAAAACTTAGATAAATTAGATAGATAGACAGATGCTGTTTTAGATATACATTATTGTTTAACATGATTTTCCTTTAAAATGCTGTAAGAAATGTATTTACAATTATATTATCATGTTTACCAAATTCTTTGCTCTTATATAGCAAAATAATATTTACATATTGTAGTCAAAATGGGCAGATAAAATGACATTTTGTTGTATTCCCTAGACTTTTTAATCTTTAGTTTTAGTTTTTTTCTTTGTTTTGATACATAAAATGCATTTACACTGGGAATATCACAGTATAGATTCATATTAAGAGCAGTTTATCTGTTCTTCAAGTTAAACACATGTACACAATATCTATTTGCACCCATCTTGTGAATGTTACCCATATTGTAATGGTTTTTAACTACCCAGATTGTTTTTCATGGCAGTAGAATAACAACAGAAAAGTTGATTCCACCCACCACTACCCACCCCCATGTCTAAAAATGACATTTTATTTTACATAAAATCAAGAAAATTAAAAATTAATGTTTTGTTCTTATGGGTCCTTAAAAGAAAGATTAAGTAAAAGCTTGCTAAGGAAAATAGATGAATGGTTATTGTTTGTTCCAAAAATTAACAGTTGATTTTTCCAAAATACTGAATGACATTCACATTTTAAAACTAGTAAATGTAATATCGGATCAGTACCAGATTCATGTCTATTTCATATGCATTATACAAAGCAACGGTCTCTTTCTTTTCCTTCCTTCCTTTCTCTTCCTCTCTCTTCCTCCTCTTTCTTCTCTTTTCTTTCCCCCTCTCTTTTCTTTCTTCCTTCCTTTCTTCCTCTCCTTCTTTCCTTTCCTCTTTCCCTCCTTCCCTCCC